TCATAATCAACATCGGTAGTTACAATCTGACGACTCTCATATTTTCAAGGAGCCAAGATGAAGATTACAAGATGACGGTCTTTGCAACTGACGACTCTCATATTTTCAAGGAGCCAAGATGAAGATTACAAGATGACGGTCTTTGCAACGCTCTAGCAAAAGAGACTACAAATTGACTACAAGATGACGGTCTTTGCAACGCTCTAGCAAAAGAGACTACAAATTGACGGTCTCTTCAAATCAAAATGCAGATATCTCTCAAACCGTAAGGAATTTGGTGAAACGGAAAGGATCAAACCAAACCCTATGGGTTAGGTTTGGTTGGCTCCATCTCGTCGAGCTAGTCGATTTTCATATATAATTCGTCCAATTCCGACTTACGGTTTGAAAGTTATGACATGTTATTTACAGCAAGTTATGTTCTGAAGTCCGTCTGTAAGACTGGATTTTGCCTGAACATTGAACTTAGCCTGAAGCTCACCAAGCCCGCCTGAGGCTCGCCTTTGCATTTGAAAGTTAGTACGCATAGTTCATCTCTGTGACAAAACGCAGACTTCATAGACTCAAAACGCAGAGTTCATGTAGAGCCCAACTCTGCGTCCCTGGTCTAGAACGCAGAGTTCATGCAGAGCCCAACTTTGCGTCCCAGGTCCAGAACGCATAGTTCATTTCTGTGTTTCAGATTCACAACCCTGTGCGAACACAGCATTTTCAGCTTCAAAACACAGAGCGACCTCTGCGTTCCAGCTTCAAAATGCAGATCGACCTCTGCGTTCCAGCATTAGCGAATGTCTAACTCTGCATCTCAAGCCTAAGACGCAGAGTTAGGGCCCAGAACGCCGACCTGGGCGTTTGACTCATTCAAATATGAGCTGAACGGTTTCATTTTTCCCACGATCTGAGGGAATCTCGCCCACTTAGGAGCGGATTAAGAGGTCAGTTACACCCTCTTATTACCCTATAAATAATCTGTTAGACCCTAGAGGGGAGGTGATTAGGGTCTTATGCTAATCTAATCCGATTTTATGCCAATTAAAACTAATTAATAAATTGTTCTTGCAAGATAGATATGCAATGTGTTATGAGCAAGAATATGTAATATGAACAAAGAGGTATATCCTAGCAAAGAGATATATGATGAAATATATGCAATGATATATAAACAACACAAGGGTAAACAATCTAAACTAAAGATACAATTATGATAGGGCAATATAAATAATGCAAACACACAATATGATCACGGAGTTCGGACCTTCCGTCCTACGTCTCCGCTCCCCACTCCCGGGGAGAAATCCACTATCACAACCGGGTTTTCTATGCTCACCCGAATAACGTTTATACCATATAATATCGGTTTTCAACGGTCACCTATTAACGTTCACAATCTCACAATGTGACTACACTCCACACCTCACAATACGATTTTCTAGCTAACCGAAAACTCTACAACACTTTCAATGTAACAAATTTGTTCTCTATAATAGATGAGAACTCAATAGCTAACCGAAAACTCTACAACACTTTCAATGTAACAAATTTGTTCTCTATAATAGATGAGAACTCAATGTAAGCTCACACTCAATTGTTACAAATCTCACCAACCTAAATATACTATATATGAAAATACAATAAGCTCAAGTGGGTGTGTGTAGACAATGAGTAAAATAAAATCAACTAAACTCAAATGTAAATACTATCTTAATAGAAATGATAATCAATAAAAAATTATAAATAAAAGCTAGAATTGAGTTTGGGAAAACTTCTCTAGATGACAAGAGAGAAAGAGAGATGGATTGAAGCTCAAATATCAATGAATTGATCTCCACTTCCTCTTGTGGAATTCTTCACAAACCAAACCCTTAAACAAACTTAAAACCAAACTTAAACTCTTTTCAAAACTTATTTAAAATATTTCTTGGATGCTTGTGAAGGATGAGAGCAAAGGGGTATATATAGCCACCCAAAACCTCAGCCAAAAATCCCAAGCAAAATACCAAAAAGCCCACAGAATCAGAAATCAGATTCTGTACAAATTATAACCGTTGGGCAATCGGCGGTCGACCGCGAGCAGCTCAGAGGCAAATTCTGGGCTTAGGAAAACATCCGGTCGACCGTGGCGGTCGACCGCAAAACACTCTGGATTTAATCTGGTCGACCGCCACGGTCGACCACGAGCCATCAAAAAACATTCTGAGTCTCTGGACTCAAGACGGTCGACCGTGACGGTCGACCGTAAACTGATACATGCAATAGACAGGTTTTGAAAATTGTTTTCTGATTTTAAAACCTTGTTTAAAAATATCAAATAAATTCTAAAAAATATAAAACTTTGAAAAATGATTGTAGACATAATAATAAACATGCTAGAACAACTGGTTTTTAAAAAAGATCTCCCAAATGAAAAATATCATTATTTTGTAAAATAGTCCAAAATATGAAAATGTAAACATATGACTTTTGACATTTTAGCTTAACCATGTTTTGAAACATTACAAAATGATTATATAGACTTAATAAAAGATGTATATGATTATTATTAAGTCCATAAACCAGGAAAACAATATTTTTACAAAATTGCATATTTTTCAAACATTTCAAAAGTAAATATGATTTTATTGAACTAAATAAAATTGATATTGATGAAATCATATATATGCATGTAAGTATGAAACAAAAATATGTTTTCTAATTATATTTAATTGTTTCATATTAAAACTTGAAAACTATCAAACCAAAACATATATGTATATATATAACTATATATATACAAAACCAAAACGTGTATGTGTGTATATTATTACGCTTAAAGTACTAACACACATAATATAAAAACTAAACTAAATTACCTAAGCTTGTGATCTTCAACGAAGCTCTATCTTGGTACACTTGCGGATGAAGCTTGAACTTGAATCTTTAACTTGAATTGCATAGCTTCAACCACTATTCCGCCATCATTTATTTTATATGATCGTTATGGGGCAATCCATCTATCATCCAACTTGTTGTTTGTCTACAATAAATAGATAACCATAAATACTAGACAAATAATATTAATCGTACATTGTTTGTTAAACATCATCAAAATAAGAAGCCCAACATAATCAAACTCGTGAACAGAGTTAGAGGATCTTGGATCTGGAATCGAGATCTTGGATCGGATCATCCAGGGGCTTCATCTGGCAGCGGATCATCTGCGAATCTCTGGGCATTTTGAGATCTAGAGATCAGCTTCTTCGGATCATCTTCTTGGTAACAAAGAGATCTTGAGGCATCCTTCAGCAACAACAAACTCAGTTGGCTATTAACCTAATTTTCGGTTCAAACAACTCTTTTCACAAAGTTTAAAACTCGCTCTGAGTTCATAAACTCGTTAAGAGTTAATTTCGAACTTGTCACGCAAGTTATCCTAAATATCAATCAAGAGGAATCAACCACGTTTCAGTGAAACAAGACGTTCGGACCGCCAACGGAAAACAAACTCGACGCGAGCATTCAAGGGAGGCATTCCATCGCCACCTTGAAGAACCCAGAATTAAACAAAGGGGAAGATCTCCGTCGATCTTCTTCTCTTTTGTAATCAGAAATTCAAATTATAATCAGTAAGAGATCGAGAGAGTTGTAAACATATTCTTTTTCTAAGCAGTTAGAAAGAATAAATCAAATTCAATTCTTTTATTTTTTTTATTATAAATTTTCCACCAAACAGCTCTCAATCGACGAACTTTCACCGATCCGAACGTAGTCGTCAACAGAGTCAGTGGGTGCTCCATATGCGAGCATCCGCATAGCTGCAATAATCTTTTGAAGGCTAGATAGTCCCAACTATCCAACACCATTCCTCTTTTGGACGAAGTACTTGTCATGTTCGACGATTGCATTGTGGATTCGAAGGAATAACGAACGCGTTATTCTAAATCTTCGACGAAAATAATTAAGAGGATAGGTTGGTGTGTCTGTAAAATACTCTTGGAACAACTGATTGTGGCCTTCTAGTTGGTTTCGATGGAGCACGACACGTCTTTTGTGTTGACGTGAAGTTCCAACTTTCTCTTGTTCTTCTTCCTCGACAACAACTCCCATAAAAAAGAACATCGTCATCATTTCATCATCACTTGAGCTAGATGAGCTAGACATTTTGTTGTGGGAGATGATGAGTTGAGGTGAGAAGACGTCGAAATTTTATAGGAATCAGTCGGTTGATGGTCAAAGTGCGTGATACCTCGAACTTCGTGCCCAACGGATAGGAATCTGTCAGTTATCAATGAAAGTGCATGCTCCCTCGAAGACCGTGTCTAATAAATATGAATTTGTCGGTGGAAATATAGGCAACCTCGAAGATAGCGGGTTATCTCGAAGACCGTGCCCAATGGATAGGATTATATATGTTGGTTGTCGGTAAAAAAAGTATGCGCTCCCTCGAAGACCGTGTCCAATGGTTAGGAATCAAATAAAAGATGTTTAAATATAATTGAAAGTAATGAGTAACAAAAATAAAATAGAAGAGAAGTTTGTTTGATATTGTTAGAGCTCCTAACTAGGAGTTTGTTAGAGATCAACATTAGTTAGGAGGTCTCTCATATGACGTGACATTAAAAATAGTGGGTCATGATCTTAAGAGCTTTCCAATAAAGACTCCCAACAAAGAGACACTCTAACACTTTACTGTAAATTAAGAAAATGTAATGCGGAGGAAGCGGCTGATTGGGATAAGGTGCTTCTGTGTCTCCACATCTGAAGACAACATGAATGAACTTCGGGCCGTTATTAAGACAAATTGCAAATGAGTTCGGCTCCAGAAATTGTAGAAACTTTGCTGCAAAAGCATGTTAAACTTATCGAATAAAAAAGCTACGCGGCAAACGGCCTGAGAGGGAGTCATTGTCTAAACTCAGATTAACAGACAACAGGGATCAACGTATTTTAACTGGACAACCCAAATGCGGCTATGTCTAAAAAGGGGTTTAAGGCTTGGAAAGTCCCACTTACATGCTATGACCTTCACCAGAAAAATCAACATTTTTAGTAACGCATGCTTTTAGCTAGATGGCAACTGAGCCAGTAACCGACATATGGGTTAAATATCAACAAATCACAACAACAAGATCGCATACTAAGATGATTATCCTTTACAACCCATGAAAAAAACATGATGCGGAGGATTTACAGGGTTTTGCTTTGCATGAGAAACATAAACACATTTTTAACACTTCAAGACGATAAAAGAAACAAGTCAGGATGTGGTGCTGTCTCGGGACAAGCTCCGGGTGCACCTCCTTTCTCCATCGGGTCGCAAAACTTTCCGGCGCTTTTGGTAAAATTTTTCTATCCTTGAGCTCGGTCCACCTCTCTTTAGCTGCCTACCATCTCTGGCTAGTGAGATTTCATCAGCAACAGCAACATTCTTTGAGTTCTGGGGAGGGAAAGACTCTTCATCGTTGTGATTATCATTCCTCTGTATATCTTCATCTTTCACACAGTCTACCACATTGGTCGTATCAACTACTGACTGGAATTCTTCACTAACCAAAGCCTCTGCTTTGTTTGTGTCGGTTTCATGAGAATCATTTTTCTCCCCATCTTCACCATAATCCTTGGCTTCCGCCATATTAACTTCCTCATGCTTGATGTCATCACGTTCAGTTTCAGTTGCGGTTTCAATTTCCTGAGAAATTTCGTAAGTTTCGTCCCCTACTGTCTTACTAGTATCAATCTCCTGAGAACAATCAGTGCCACCGTCTTGATTCTCACCAGAAGATGAAGGAGGGCTATCCGAGACACAGCCACAGTCCTCTACTGAGACAGTCCTCTCCTGGATTTCACCACTCAGATTGGAAACTGTTACGTTACATGATTTAGGCAACAAACTTAAACCAATCTCTTCTTGTTCTTGCATTGAATTCCAAGGCGTCTCAGGTTCTCCAACATCCTTGAGACAATACGAAGTCGAGTTTTCACCAACTGGACAGTGAGTTTCTCTGTCAAGGTTTGAGGTACTAAATTGTTTGCTTTTATCTGCATGTTCCTAAATTCAAAATGACAGCAGGCGACCACAATTATGAGAAGACGCTTCTATAGTAAAGGATAAGCAAAAACAATTTAGATTTTTCGCTACTGAAAGCAAACATGGCTCTTCTGTAAATGAAAGGAAATACTTCAAGAAAAGCTATACATGGAAGGAACAGAAGACTAGTCCATTAAAATAACTTTTTATAGCAGCACTATTGCAATGTCACTATCTACATTCCTCCGTCCCTCCATAAATGTGTACATAAAATATGATACTTATTATGCACATTTTGCATTGCCACCTACTCCCAATAATTCCCAGCACCAAATCTTCTAATTGATGAGAACATGTGTAATTTTACATCATCGTTTAGTGAAACCATAAGAATAACAGCACCAAATATTCTGCTTGACGACGATAGCATAACAAAGTTCATTTTTAGGCTAGTGTTGGAGCTTTCAACGAACTCGGTAATATGTCAAGCCAATTATTTCAAAATAGGGTCTCAATACTTGAACTTATGTTCCACAGATATGGGTGCTAGTGCAGACAAGGGTGCAGATAGGGGACACACCAAAGTTATAGAAATTAGAAAATAAGGACACAGCTATATAAATACATATTAAAATTAATAATCTATGTGAGATAGATATTGCTTTTCATTCACACGTTATGATATGAGAACTAAAATCCTTATACCATTTTATGTTTCTTTTAATGAGATTATTTTCCAAGAATATTCTAGAAGATCAAAGAAGAACTGACGAACCTATGTACTTAATTTACTCTCTATGAATTGTTTCAGAAATCTGTTTGTTTTTTGTTTTCATATTAGATTAGGAAACTACATGTTTCCTCTTTATTTTATACTATATGTTTCCTTTTTATTTTATTTTATTAGGAAGTAGACTAGACAAACAAAATGTCTCATTGTTTTTGTATTAAACTATGAATTAGGTAGGCTAGTCGTATACCTACATACAAGACTTTAATATACTTCATTTTAACAATGAATGAAATAATGATGATATTACTAATTGCCAGTGAATTGAGATTGCTCCTTCAAACCCAAATCTCACTTTTTTATTCCTTCATCTTTACCGTACCCTATCCACATCACTGATTTTGATGACCCTTCACGTTGATTTCTTTGCTTCACAAATATCATTTTCTTATTGAAACATGCCGGGAAATTATGAGATAAATGTAGCTGCATGGATGATAGGTAGATATAAACTCATAGTCATTGCAGCTCAATTCAAATAACAGAACTTAAAAACATGGAATAATCATCAATCCTGATAAATGTAGTTTCATGGTCAACCCATCATGTGCAAGAAATATATCACACTTAATGTAGAGAAATAGAAAAGACAGATTATTATTTATCTGACGCTAATCTCTTAAACAAAGATTAGAATGATATTATAAAATAGGTACGAGATAAAATCACATCTCACAATATCTCATAATATCTTATAATATCTGCTAGATCTAAATACTAATAATATCTAACACTCCCCCTCAAGCTGGAGCATATAATATTATATATATCTAGCTTGTAGAGAGAAACCCTAGGTAGGTCAGCCAATAAAAACCTTAGGCGAGTCAGCCAGTAGAGAGAAACCCTAATACCTTATTTGGACGGAGGTTAATAAATGGAAGTTGAAGTGAAATTTCAATTTTACCTTGTTTGGAAGTTTTTTGAGGGTTGAGGATGGAATGGAAAGTTAAATTTCCTTCTATTTTTCTCCCCTCCAATTTGGGGATAGCGGAATATAAAATTTTACAATGTGATGAGATAATTATACCCTTATGATATTAAAATTAATAGCTAAGATATACTCCCAACCAAAATGTAAAGGTATTTATGTAACTTTATACATATTCATTTCACTTTCCTCCTCTTTATTAGAACTCTCAAACAAGGTAAAACAAATTCACTTTCGTTCCCTTTATTAAACTCCCAAACAACATTTTATCTTTTCATTTCCCTACCTTTCCTTTCCATTATTTAACTTTCCGTCCCTTCCCAACAAAGCATAGAAACCCTAGATGGGTCAACTAGTAGATAAAAATTCTAAGCGAGTTAGCCAATAGAAGCAACGTCAAAATTAACTACGTACTTTTACATCCAACCATTGGAAGATTATGAAGAATGATATTGTTCACAATAAATAGTACAAGCGGCTTACTATTCATTGTTGAACAATACCGTGATGAACAATGCCTTTTTTTCTCTAGAGGTTAACGCTTTTTTGTTGAGTTTTAACAAAGATTTAATAAAAAAATAATGTAGAAATCAAAGATGTCGTCAAAGCCGAGGAAGATGTTGTCATAGCCGCCGAAGGAAGCATGAAGGCTATGCAAAACCCCCTCGACAACCTCGAGATTTAAAAAGATGGGAGAAGTCGCTAGGATCGAGTAGGTTCCGATACTATGTAAAAAATAGAAAAAGCAAATATTATTATTCATCTAACCCTGACCTCTTAAATAGAGATTAGGAAGATATTACAAAATAAGTACGAGATAAAATCATATCTAATCACATTTCACAATATATTATAATATCTTATAATATCTACTAGATCTAAATACTAATAATATCTAACACTTCAAACAATGGATCAGGATGGGTTTAGGTTCTGGCTAACATTCACACTTCACAGCAATGTATAGCTATTATGGGATGTATATGCAATATAGAGAATTAGAATATAAAAATATAACCTATCATGTGCGAGAAATATATCACACTTAGAAACAATGGATCATGATGGGTTCAGGTTCTGTAATACATTCACACTTCACAATAATGCATAGCTATTATGGGATGTCAATGCAATATAAACCATTAGAATATAAAAATATAACCATCAACTCTTAACACAATCTCGGAGTTTTAGTGTAATAGTTAGGAAACTTTAACATGGTATCAGAGCAACCCAAGTTTAAATCTTACAGACCACGAATTTAAAGCAGATTTTCTTAAAATTGACATCATTGTATGAGTCCAAGTTTTGGACCATAAAAAAGACATTCAACTTCTGGGGGCATGTGTATAAAAATATAACTTACCAAAACTTTGGAATTTTGGTGGTTTGGTGTAATGGTTAGAGAGATTTTGACATAAACATATACAACCTAATATATCAACAAGTGGACAATTCATTTCTTTTAAGACTATGCAAACGTTAAAAAGTAAATATCCATACGACAGAGACAACATTGATATCAATCACTTAAGCTTTTTCATTTACTTTTCCCTTTACAAATCCTATGTGCTTGGGTTTCACTCCAGGTTTATTTGAGGGATTATGATGATATTCTTTGAACTGTCACGATTAAGAATGTATTCGGGTTTATTTTGACTTCAGGTTTATTTTAACCTTTACGAATTCTATGTACTTGGATTTCACTTCAAGTTTATTTTGATGGTGTTAAGATTTGGAGAGAAAAGAGTTTCTTGGAAAGATTTCCTCTCTCTACACTTTATTATTTATAGAGATGGATTAATTACAAGTTAGCCTCACAAGCAATGTGAGACTAAATCAACGCTAAACTAATACTCTCTTCTAACACTCCCCCTCAAGCTAGAGCATATATATCATGCATGCCAGCTTATCACAAATAAAGTCAACCCGTGTTCTACCAAGAGAATTTGTAAGAATGTCTGTCAACTGATGTACAGTCGATACATGTTTTGTCGTGATGATTTTGTCCTCAATCTTTTTGCGGACTACATGACAATCGACTTCAATGTGCTTGGTTCTCTCATGAAACACAGGATTCTCAGCAATGTGAATTGCTACTTTATTGTCATCATATAGACTCATAGGACATTCTGGAGGGAGACTAATCTCTGTCAATAGGCCTTTGATTCAAACCATCTCAAGTGTCACATTTATCATAGCTCTGTATTCTGATTCTGCACTGGATCGAGACACAACATTTTGCTTCTTATTTTTTCATGACACCAGATTTCCTCCGAGAAAGACACAATATCTAGTAGTCGATCTCCTATCAAAAGGATATACAGCCCAATCTGTATCAGAGAAGTTTGCAACTCTGGTGTCCTTAATTTAAGTAGAGAATTCTCATCCTGGAGCCTTCTTCAAGTACCTCAAAATTCTCATTACTGCATCTAAGTGAGTAATTCTTGCACAACAATGACTACGAAATGTGATGTCAGGTCTGATCACCGTCGAATAATTCAGTTTCTCCACCAATCTCCTATACTGCCCAACATCCTCAAAAAATCCATCTGGTCTGGTAGTAGTTTTGAGTTCACATCCATTGGAGAATCACTGCTTCTGCATCCTAACATCCCGGCTTCTGAGAGCATATCTAGGACATACTTCTTTTGCGATAGAAAAATATCCTTCGTTGACTTTGCAACTTCAATTCCTAGGAAATATTTTAGGAAACCAAGATCTTTGGTTTGAAAATGTGTCTGTAAATGCTTCTTTGCTTCTTCAGGTTGTCAATACCAAAAACATCATCCCATGTAATTACAATGCCATCCACATAAACAACTACCAGAATTCGTTTCCCATTCTGAAATCGCCAGAAGACAAAGTGATCTTTCTGTGCACGACAAAACCCAAATTCTTGAATAACCGATGCAAAACATCCAAACCAGGCTCTCAGAGACTGCTTCGGACCATAGAGTAATTTCTTCAGCTTACCTTCGAATTCTCCCCCTGAACAACAAAACCTTGTTGTTGCTCTATGTAAACCTCCTCATCTAGAATACCATTAAGAAATGCATTCTTGATGTCCAAATGATGAAGTGGATAGTGATTTATCGCTACTAACGAAATAAAAATCCAAACAGATGTCATTTTTGCTACCGGAGAGAGGATATTTATGTAACCCAAACCATACACCTATGAATAGCCTTTAGCAACTAGTCGAGCTTTCTGGCGTGCCAAAGTTCCATCAGGATTCAATTTGACAGTGTACACTCACTTACAGCTGACGAGCCGCTTTCCTAGTGAAAGTGGGACCAAATCCCAAGTCTCATTCCGTTGCAAGGTCCTCATTTCGTCCTGCATCGCTTGGTTCCAACCTGGAATAGTCAGGGCTTCTGACACATTCTTGGGAACCAAATATGTGTTGAGAGAAGTAACAAAAGATCAAAAGGTAGAGGAGAGGCGATCATAGGAGACAACGTTAGAAATAGGATATTGAGTACAAGTTCGTGTCCCTTTCCGAACTGCAATAGAAAGGTCTTTCGCAAAAGGGGGTAAATTTGCATTTACTGATTAAGGTTCTTCGGGCTGAGGACGTGGTGTTGAGACCGACGTTGGCACATAAGCAGGAGCAGAGCGACGATGATAAACTTGAATTGGGTCTTTAAACCGAACTGAGTCTTTGCCAATAACGTAAATAGTATTGTCAGCAGATGGACCACCGGCGTTAACTAATGACTTTTGTAGGATTAAATAGTTATACTCATTCGGTGATAATGGAGATGGAGAACTAGAGTGACCGGGTTTATCTTCAAAGAATGTTATATCAGCAAATAACACAACACGATTGAGTGACGGACAGAAACACTTGTAACATTTATGCTTTCGGGAGTAACCAAGAAAAATATCTTTAATAGACCGAGAGTCAAAACTTTTGTTTATTTGGACTATGATTATGAACAAAGCACAGAGCCAAAAATATTTAGAGTAAGCAGAAAGAAATCATCGTTGGGGTATAAAAAATACCCCCAACAACCCCCATCCATTTTTGGATGGGGTGGTTGGGAGTATTTAAAATGGATGGGGGTGGTTGGGGGTATTTTTTTTTTAAGAATTTTATCTTGCAGAACAAAAGAGGACATTCAATTAATCAAGTAACATGTTGTTAAGATAGCTTCCCCCTAAAATTATTTGGGAATGTGGCGATAAAATAGCAAGGTTCGAGCAATATCAAGGAGATGTCTATTCTTTCGTTCAGCAACTCGATTTTGCTGAGTGTAAACATAAGACTGATGGAGGATTTCATATTGTTCAATAAAACTAGTGAAGTTGCCATCCAAATATTCCTTTGCATTATCAGATCGGAAATTTTTTATCGAAGTCTTAAATTGATTGACTATTTCAGAATAAAAGAGTTTAATGTAGAAAAGACTTCAGACCTAGATTTGAGAAGATAAATCTAAGTAACACGAGACTGATCATCTACAAAACTGACAAAGTATCGGATCACAATTTAGAAGTTATTAAACATGACCCCCAGACATCAGAATGAACAAGATCAAATAGCTTAGCAGCCCTCTTATTAAGTGATTAGGATAAGACACACGATGGTGTTTGCCAAGTTGACACGGCCCACACTCTAATGAGGAAAGAGCTTTGAATTGGGGATTAAGAAGCTGAGAACAGAAAGAAAGGGATGTCCTAGCTGACAATGGTATTGTAGGGCTGATAAGTTTCCGATACAAGCCAAATATTTGGCGCCCAATTTCAGTTTATAAAGGTCGTTCTGCTCATATACCGTCCCAATCGTTTTCCTCGTGACCATGTCCTGAAAGACAATGTGTGAAAAAATATCACTGTACAATTTAGAAATTTAGTAATCTAACAGATAAAAGGTTATAGGGAAAACCTGGAAGATAGAATACGAAGAAAAGAGGAAGACTAGGAGTATTGCCGACACCCTGAACAGGTGTACGTGAATCGTCAGCTAATATAACTGAATTAGATATAGGGGAAAAAGATGACAAGATACCTTGATTTCTAGTCATATGATCAGTGGCACGTGTATCAAATATTAGACGAAGGCGATGTAAGTAAAGATAAAAGGGTACATGCACTTTTAAGAGTAGCGAATAAGGAGGAAGACGATATTTGTGAACTCTAATACTGCTGGAATAATTAAAATTGCTGAAATTGACGTTGCAGCTCAGCATCATGGAAGAGTGATTGTGGTTAACTTTCACTATTAGATAAGGTGAAGTTGTCCTGAGTGGTCATGTAAGCACTCTTGGCTTTCTTCTTTTTTAATTTAGGACAATTATATTTGAGATGTCATGACTGGTGACAGTAATTACAAGTCTTCACTGAGTCATCACCATAAGCATGTCCGCCTTGAGATGGATCTCCACAGGCACCTTGTTGACGACCTCGGCCCCCAGAACAACTAGTGTGGTAACCTCCCCTCCCTTTAAAATTTTCTCTACCTCTTCTACGACCACCAGTATGACCCCGTCATCCATAAGACTACTAACTCTGAGTGACAAGTGCAGAGCGATCCGCAGTGGATGTAAGTAGCTGTGCAGGGATAACATTCTTCAGAAAGTGATAAGTCTTAGCCAGAGAACTAATGACAGAGCTCCACATGATTTGTGGTCTAACAGAGTAGTAAATGGAATCGAGGGTACCCTAGTAGGTGAGTATTATAAATTTGTTCCATTGGTTCTGCATTTGTTTTACATCCCCAGTAATAGAAAAAATCTGACGAAATTCCTCAGCCAGACGATTGAACTCACCATAATAATCATCCATGGGTTTACCATCTTGTTTCTTAGGAAACAACTCTTGAATTACTTCATATGCCCGATTAATATTGCTGCTACCCCCATAGAGATCTTGCAAAAACCACCAAAATTTCTTCACTGTCATACAATGAAGAACTAAATCCTGAATTTTACGCTCCATAGTATTAAGAATTTCATGCAAGAGGATACTATCATCCAATGTCCAAGATTCTGATGTCGGAGTAGGAGGGTCTATCCAGTTTTGCCTCGGCCTGTTACGCAGATTTCAATAACAAGTTTCTACTGGAGATAGTTAATTCCATCAAGCTTCCTATCAGTGATTCTACCAGAAAATATCACCGAAACTTTCGTCTGGACCGTTAACTCAGAATTCTTGAGTTCCTCAGATCCAGCCATTATGAAACAGACGAGTAGAGTTCAAGAAAATACCCTCCATAAGTTGTACTCCAAAATGAATACAATCTAAATATGTCCAAGTTCAAGAAAATAATTCTTGAATTAGCCGCCAGTGGGTTGAATAAGTCCAAAAACCCGAAGGTTTAATTTTAAACCCAAAGGTTAAAGTGCAAGAACCTGAAGGTTAAAGTGTAAGAACCCGAAGGTTTTTTTTTACAGGTCAACTCGCAGATCTGATTCAGATCCAAAAGGAAAAAGAAAGCGACGAGCGGCTGGCATGGCGGTAGCGAGCGAGGGCCTAATGGTGGCGGCGGTCATCAACGACGAGTGACGTCCGGTTGCGAATCTGGATCGGATGACGAATGAGCTCGAGGGAAATGATGTCGATGACGATGACGAGGAAGATGAGGACGATGTATGAACTTGGCGGCGGGTGTTGTGGATGTGAAGACGCAGTAATTAGGGTTAGGGTTTCGAAGAGAGGCGGTTGTAGGGTTTTGGCGGCTAGGGTTGTGGATTAGTATTAGGGTTAGAGTTAGGAATAGGCTCTGATACCATGCTGAGATTTGGAGAGAAGAATTTCTTGGAGAGATTTCCCCTCACTCTATACTTTATTATTTATAGAGATGGATTAGTTACAAGTTAGTCTCACAGGCAATGTGCGACTAAGCCAATGCTAAACTAATACTCTCTTCTAACAGATGGATTATGGTGCTATTCTTTTGACTTTCACAATTAAAGAGTGTATTTGATATTACATGTAATAACTTCAAGGGTGACACTAGGAGCACACTCCCAACCACACCTCCAACTACACCCCCTCTCTCATTTGCTACAGTACACCGGGCCCCACATGAGATTTTAAAATTTTAAAATCTCATGTGGGGCCCGGTGCACTGTAGCAAATGAGAGAGGGGAGCGAAAGACTGCAACTAAAGAACTTAAGCAACGTCACTTCGTTATGGGTGTCTGTCAAACCTGAGATGGAAGCATTTGAAGTTAGGAAAATGATAGGGGCACACCCCCAACCACATCTCCAACCACACACCCCTCTCTCATTTGCTACAGTGCACCGGGCCCCACATGAGATTTTAAAATTTTAAAATCTCATGTGGGGCCCGGTGCACTGTAGCAAATGAGAGAGGGGTGTGTGGTTGGAGATGTGGTTGGGGGTGTGCCCCTATCATTTTCCTAACTTCAAATGCTTCCATCTCAGGTTTGACAGACACCCATAACGAAGTGACGTTGCTTAAGTTCTTTAGTTGCAGTCTTTCGCTTTTGGATGATTTAGAAAAAGAGATATCCTAGTTTATTTTACTCAATAATGATGCAACTTTCACCTAGTTAAACTATCAAAAACAGTTATGATGTCAAAGTTAATCAAATTTCAAAAGGAAAAGAAAAATCAAATTTCAACAGAAAAAGAAAAAACATCCTGTAATTTCACCGCGGACAGGGAAAATGTATATGGATATGATTTCAAGCAAAGCAAACTATTAAGTGTACTAGGCATAAGTGGCAGCTTACAACTCACAGGAGTAGGAAAAAGAACGTAATGCTTAAAACTTACTATATCTACTAATTGAACATCATGGACAAAAAAAGGTACCTTGTTTGAGCTTGTTGCACACTTGGGCATCTGAAAAGATGCATCCTCCTGAAATAGAGACATTGAACTTGTTCGTGGTTCAAGGAATTCATGCATAACCCTCCTTCCTTGTTTATCGCATTGAGCAACACCAGGAGAAGGTAAAGTTTCAAGATTCATTTCAATTCCACTAACGGTGAGTGAACATGTGGAGTTACCAACATAAGTCTTGGATGTATCATAATGCTTATTAAGAAACTCCAAACCCGGTCTCTGCTCAGTATTACTATCATGATATCCCGAGGAAATAACATCATTAGAGGTTGGAGGAACATTTTGAGAGGGATCATTCAGAAGATCGTATATTAGCTTCCGAATGAGAGAACGTTTAAAAGATGCCTCAGAAGGAATAAACCAATCCATCGTAAGCTGAAAAGTACCCACAAGAAATAAGAAATAGAGGATATATATAACTATAATAGTATAATTAAACACTTCCAATTACTCATTAAAAATAATACGATCAACAGGTACAACAAGAAAACTGACTGTTTAAAATTTGATGCACAACAAAATAACCTTTCTAGGTCCTAAAATAATCCTTACCGTCCATGTAGCTCAATTCTCTTGGTGTTAAATTAATAGCTATGAGATCTTTTATATCTTATGTAAATCCATGTTCATTTAGATATCCCAGGCCTCCTTGCTGCACCAACTATGGCCCCATAACTACTCACACATCTAGTGGTTTCATTTCACATGCACAAACCATCTCAAATAGTTTCCTGCATTTCATCAACAATTCTCCTCACATTGTTTAGCATTTTGTGACGAAATCATTTTAAAGAACAGTATGTTTTTGGTTTATGCCTTAAAAAGTCTATAACAATTGATGATATCTGCATTGTCATATCCAAGTTCACACGTGTCCTAGTTCTGCTATCTGAGACCATATGCCTCGATCATTATTTACTATACTTTCTACCGTGTAATACTAACGGCTGAAATCTTTAAACAGAAGGATCAAAGTATATTGTCCCTTTTCATGTAACAAAACAAGTTAAAACACCACTACCAGCTTGTTCCATGTATAAATCTTAAATAATAAACACTCTAGGGGCATCACGGTCAAGACGAAAGTTGAACACTTCATCCCAAGTCGAGTTGGAGGGTAATAAGGGACTCACTTAAAACTGCAAGTGTTTAGAGAGTATTTTCAGCAACAAATATTATGAACTAAACTGTGTAACCGCATAAGAGATCAACGGATGAACAAAGGCTTTAGTGGCCAACATAGAATGTGATGTTTTTGATATTGCTAGTAATGATGCAATTATGCGACAAATTCAAAGAAATGGCAAATCAGCAAGGTTGTATGTAAATTTTCAAACTTGATGTCATTTTTTAAGCCTATTACGGCTATATTTTTGCAGTTGACAGTACTCTCCTTTTTAATACCTTTTCACTCATATACCATATTTGGTTGGGGTTTTCATGTTTGAAACCCTATCTTTTTGTAAAAAAAAGATCATTTTACCGTCGAATATGACTATTGATATAGTCGTTTTAGTTTCTTTTTACAGAAGGAACAAGAATGTCCCTCCAAGCTCCAATTCGAAGGGTATTTTAGTCAATTTAATATTTCATCTTAAGCTATAACAAAAAGAATGAGTATTCCTCAACTTAAACCTTAATGCGTATTTTAAACCAATGTATGAGATTTGCGGGGGTTAAATTAGAAAATATTTGAATTGGGGGTAAATTTGCAAATATGAAAGATCCAAAGGGTATAATTCAAAAAACCAAAAATTTATTAAGCCCAAAAAGAAGATGAATGTATCAAGGGTTTGGTAGTAGCAGTTATCACATTTCAGGACATGATACAGGAAGCAAACTTGATAATGAGAAAAAAATTAGGTGGTATGATATACAAAATGACAATTGAGAGATTATATAATGCCATGATAAAAAAAATAACAAACATGCCTTCTTGCCATGCACAAGGAAATTCGTGGCTTATCTAAGAATGAAAGTGATAATACATAGCTTGTAGACAGATGAAGGCTAACAAACCTAGAGGTCGGAGCAAAGTTGTAGTTAAGGGATACATCTTAATAATGGGACACAAGTTGCACTACAGAAACCAATTTTACATTGAAGTCAGGATAGATCACATCTTGGGGCGCATCAACATGTTTGCTCAAGTACATTTTGCAACATATAAAGGAACTTATTTATGCGGCAAGTCATCAAGCATGAAGATGTCAAATAATATTACATAGTAGCAGCATTGTCTACAAGAAACCTAGATCATAACAAGTAAAGTTCTTTGTACATATGAATCAAAGGAGCAGACAATCACACAGATACGAGCATATCGTCATGTTTAGGACTTCAAAAAATTCATATGGCTGATTATTCTAGGCAAAGTGCAAGAATGAAATGACATACCATAACGCCATATAAATGGTTGATAATATTGTCTTCACCCGATTCTTATTCTATTTAATAATAAATTAAGGAAAAAGTTCAGCATTCAATCCACCAATTCAAAAATAACATATCTGCAAAGAATATATGCACTAAAAGATTACAACCACAGACGCAATTTCTCACAGAAAATCGTAATAACAAGTTGAGAATAACAAAAATGCATAAAATAATGCTTGCCTCCCGATAACATAAAACGAAAAACAACATAACCTATAACTCGTAATGCAGATTATGTGTCTACTACTTATTTAAATATTCAATAAATAAAAACTGCATAATGATTTTAATAAATAGAATCATAGTTTTCAAACATAAGATCACAATTACTTATTTAAATATTTAATAAGTAATTGTGTCTACTAATTATTAACCATAAAACGAAAAACAACATAACCCATAACTCAATGTAGATTATGTGTCTACTACTTATTTATATATTCAATAAATATAACAGTATTGTTTTCAAACACAAGATCACAATTATCAAATATAACATTATAATTTCTCCACAAAAGACATCATAAATTCTTAACAACCAATCCAAAAGCACAATGTACTGCAAGTTTAAAACAAAAACATAAAGAAAACTCTCAAGTCTCAAGCAATGTTAAAAAATATGATGATGTATAACTTAAAGCCTCTTGATAGTGCTTAAAGCACAATTCATATTCTTTATTGTAAGAAATATAAAATATGTTTGTATTAATTTCAAGAGTTAGAAACAGAATTTCAAAAAGAAAAAATACTTTAATAAAAAAATATCTTTAATTTAATATAAGCTACACTAATTTACAAACTATCACAATAAAATTGAAATATATGATCGCAATTTTACATCTCATTTATAATTTCACATTCATTTTATTAGTGACATTCATGATTTCACAATTACATAATGATGTCACCAAAACTAGCCATGAAAGCTTAACAAACAATTAAAAAATAATTACTTAATTACTTCAAGTTTAAGAAAGAAAATACTCTCTGATCTCTATCATAAATTTAGTTGAAATAGCATAAGTTATATTGAAATAATGCATCCTATATTGAAATAACAAACCTTTTATTGAAATGATGCATGTTATATAGTAACAACATAGAGCTATCACATGTACGAGTTATTTCAAAAGTTTACATAATGTCTAAGGTATGTTAAGGTTACATAAGGCAAAATAACGAGTTACATGTTTTTTTAACAATGAATAAATAAATGAACAGTTTCAATATTTAGTACTAAATTTCAGTAACCACCCATCCCCATGAAGTTCTCCTTGATAACACATACTCGCCTATAGTTTATTTTCAACATTTTTACCCTTCATATTTTACTGCATCCGCATTTTGAACCTTTTGGGCTCCGAAAATGGTGATCTTGTAATTACAATGACTATGTATTACATGACAAGTGTGCCCAAAGTCTTACTAACAGTTCTCTATAACTTAGAAAAAAAGGACTATGACCTCCATAATAATACCTATCCTATCTGTAATCTAAATTCAAAACCTAGTCTCATTCGAAATCTGCATTCGACTATGCATATCCAAGCTCATTTTGAAATGCTAACACGTCAATTTCTTCGGTAAATGTTCCCTGATTACTCAATAATTAGCTTCTCAATATGATCAACTATTTTGATACATTGAATGATTTTATTTTCGTATTTGCGTATAAAATTATATATTTAAAACTTCTACCTTTGCATTTCTTTTTTAAATGCAGGTATTAAATTTCTGAACCTATATGTTCAAGATTAGGGGCACATGTAGGAACAAGTACATTAGCATACTCATTTTTAAAAACATAATATCTAATAAATTGAGAAAATGACTACAAATAATTCCTCTACGATGAAAATATGGTACTTTTATGTTTCTATTGATTTTTCACATCTATTACTAACACCCTACCACCAACCTTACGGGGAAAAAGCAGTGAAGAAAAATTATAGGAGCAAAAAGTTATGAGGTAAATGATGAGGTAAACTTTATTTTGAGTGTATGTGAGAAATGGGGAGTAAATATAATAATCCTAGTTGGCACCGAGCATCAGTCATCATATTCAATTTAAAAGACCATACAGTTTACTGTAGCACAATGGCAACATGTATTTCGGTGTGAAGTAGGTTTAGGTTCAAACTCGATTGAGTTGGACCACAACTAATTATTAAATATCAATAATAGTACCACCACCACCAATAATAATAATGACAACAACAACAATATTCTTAACCAACAATTTTTGGCAATGGGAAATGGTAACTTACGAAGCTATTGAATTTGTTTATCTTGAACGGATTAAAATTAATTGGAGCTTCTTCCAAGAACAGCTCCACATAGTGAAGCAAGAAAAGACCGCAGTCAAATGAGTTCTCCTGTTGCGGCAACTACAAAATCAATGAACAAGTGAGAGATCATTAGGCTTTATCCAAATCAGCATAAGCATTTACATCCACTGAATTTGAATATTTTAAATATAAATTACTGTTTCCCCTCTGAAGGATTGAAAAACTCAAAATATAATACTTTCTTTGTGTGTGTTTTTACTTTTCCTTTTGGGTTGGAAGTTCTGGGGTTTTCTTCTTTCCCTTCTTTTGTTTTGGTGCGTATTGTGGTGGTGGCTAAAAATTGATACCAAGCCAGAGGGCCAAGAGTTAATGAACCAGGAGAGTTCATCCAAGGTAACACCTTATACAAAATATCATCATTGGATAACTGTCTCACATCAAATACTAATGTCAGTGTCATGAGATGGGTTTTGTCTCACATCACTATTTAAAAAATTAGGATTCATGAATTAAGAGTCCATGAAAAGTAAAATTTTACCTAAACAATGTGATAAGGATGAGCTTTATCCAAGATTACTAATTGTTCAAAAAATTTAGGCCAAAGGCTTATAATATGTTTCCCATTTTGAGTCCGCTAAGCCAACTTAACACTTGAATCAAATGTTGTATACATTTCCCCCCAAAAAAAAAAAAAAATACAAACACACATTTGATCGAGTTAGAATTTAAGAAAGTGATAATTTTTTGTGAAATACCTTTCAAGACACTATAATGAAGATCAAATATAACAAAGTCGATGGTGGCAAAAATATAAACCTCAAGATAAAGCATGGAGCGTATGCAATTCAATTTGAACTCTTGCGGGTAAGTATGCAAAATTCAATTTATGATTAAGACAAGCATTCCATTATATGTGGTGAAGGCATGTTATAAGACGGGTTTAGCCCAACCTAGAGTACATGGATGATGGATTGGGTGTTATACTGTTATTTGGTTTTTGAACACAACACTTTAATACGTTTTGCCTTTAGGTCATAGGGGCCCAAATCTATTAGCCCTCCACTTTAGAGGCCCCATTAGGTAACAATTATATTGCATAACTATATTGACAGGTAAGGAGAATAGTCCACATTTATGCTAGAGGAGAATAGTCCACATTTATGCTAGAATTAATTAGCAAATAAAATTCTCAGGGCATACTTTTCAAACTAAAATGTGATGCATAAACATCTAAAAATCTGTAAGAGAAGTGCTAGCTTAAGACTCTTATTATATGTAAGGACATAATGGCAATAAGCATCATGTATTTAGAACTTATTAGAGTTTATATTCATCAGCCACTGTAAGAAGAAAGGCCTTATATACAAATGAAAATCAAAGCTTAAACAGGATATAAGTTAGGACACAATAGTTGGTAGTTGGTACATAAATAGGCTACAACATTCAGGTACGGTAATAAAACAGTGTAATTCATTTCACAGACATACAAAGGATGTATAAATTAGATAGCAACAGAGGAAAGGGGGTATAAGTGAAAGGAAAACGCATAAACAAAAGTTTGATCATAATTCCAAAAACATGTTAGTTAGGAAGCCGTAGTAAGGAAGCCATAGTAAAACTTAAAGAGTTTATTTGGTAATTCATGAACCAGCTTCCCAATAAGCATAAAAAAAATAAACAGTCACAATGAACATGAAATTAAAGAATCACAAAGTGCATAGAATACATGGGCATGCATGTGCACGCGCATAAAGAGATTCTTCAGCCATAAGAAAAGTTTCCTCTTATTACAGTTGAAAAATTAACTTCTCCCAGTTGAATGGATTTAGTTCCATGACGAACTTCAAGATCTAAAATACTAGTACAACAACAATTGTCTAGTAATTATTTGCTTGCCCTTTTGAGCTTTCATTGGTAATGTTAGACTGTTAGTATGTTACAGAAGTTTGGGTTTCTAACTACAAAACATTTTCCATCTCCTAATCTATGAGCAAAGACTATAGATATAAATTTGATGTATCTAAATTTCAAGTAATTGAGAACATATGATGGTATTGGTCATCCAATCTAGGATTTAGTCGACTTCCTGACCACCATGAAAGAAATTTTGATCTATAACTAATACCCTCTATTTAGCTATTTCCCATTCAAATCCAATCACAAGTTCCAAGTGACTTATTTCAGACTAATCCACTAAATTGAAGCATCTCATCATCCAAAGTTTTCCGCTTATGCATCAAAATCGACATTAGAATAATCAAAAATAGCATATTGTTTACTTTAACAACAAGAGTATCTAATCTATCTCAACAACCTCATGAGATCAAAATCACAAGTTCCTTTAAAAAGAAGGCTTGTCAAATGCATACAAGATTGCTACTTTCCGTGGTCACATCAGCTGATCCACTTATCAAATCATCCTTTTATGACAAATATCACTGCTGTAAACTTTGCATAAAAGATCTCTACTCAGTGTGATCACGTCAATTGATCAACTTCCTAGTTATCTGCTTATCACAAAGGACAATGTCGTAAACTAGGTAGCACGGATACGGTTGTGGACACAGACACAGACACGGTTATAGACACAGGACATGGAAAATTTGTAAAATGTAAGATACAGGGACACGACTCTATATATAATTTATATTAGATTACTGAATTAAAATACCTATAACATTTGTAAATGTCTTTCTATTATCTATAACAATTAAGAATCAAATTAAATCAAACTAAGAATAATGTTTAATAACAAAAGTTTAGTTTTGATTGCATGGGATAATATGATGGGAATTCCTCAAATATATAAGTAATGGGTTTCAATTTTCAGGTTTAAAAACCAATTGGTTTTGAACCCAATATTACCAAATAAATTAATTCAGGGTATAACTAATAAGGAAATTGGGTTTTGCTTTGAATCGCACGCGTCCATGGCACGTCCGCGAAGAGTCCATGTCCGAAACTTGTCGGATACAGACACAACATCCAAAACGCTACGTCCGAGTATTCTAGGTTGTAAACCATCTAGGTTGTAAACCATGGATTCGCTACGTGGGTGCTTGGACAGCCAATAATGTACTATCAGATCATACACCACATATATAGAAGTATATGGAAAAAATTCGCTACACATTTCGCCACATTATCAAAGCGTTGCTCTATAAGAAAGAAGTGATGGGAAAGAGGCATCGCTACTTTAGATTCAGACAAAAAAGAGTTTTCTACTATTTTAGGGTTTATTTCATTTGTTTAATGGTTCAATTAGGTTGGTTTGCATTGATTAATATGTTGAATTTAGAAGAATGAATAAAGCATCAATATTTGTGTAGTTGTTACCCAAATGCTTAAATGGTATACATAATAGAAGTAATTATGAGAGTATATAACTATCTGATGCAGTTATCACCAAATACTTCAATAAGATTGTGTAACCCTCGTTTATGAACACTGACAAAAATATGTGATTGGCTAGACCTTGTGACAAAAGATACTTCAATTGACATGCAACAAACTTTGCAGAACTTATAGTGGTTATTTGATGTGCAAAGACAAACTGTACATTGGTTCCACCCACCACTCCAGAAGTGAGTCCACTTTGACTAACAAGTATCATGTGAAAAAGATATACTACAATAGACTAATGGGTGAAGTAGCTGCGCATCACCATATACAAGATACATAGGAATCTTTGTTAGCATTAGTTCCTATTTTCCTAATGGGAATTGACAATATCCTATAAGTCATGTGTGAGTTTTTGCAGGAGTATCAACCCAACTGGAAGATATCATGGTTACAACACAGAGCTTGGTTAAAATGCCTAAAGCAGCTTAAGGCCTCAAACTTCCTCATTTTGACAGTTGATCTAAGCCTTTCCTTTGAAATGGGTGGAGGGTTTTAGCAAAGTTCAGATGGTCCGTTGACAAATATCATGATACATGAAGCCTAATATTTTTCAAAGTCCTTCAACTCCCCGCATCAGCCTCAGAGCTATGCTCTTTGAAGAAGTGTCCAGAACTCTAAACGCTCCACATATGCAAAACAATAGTAAATAGATATAGATCAAAATTTTTGAAATTAGGTGATTGTCTTGCTTTGGATATTTAACTAAAGGACCATTAAGAGACACCTAGAAACTCCAAATAGTAATCCTACTAATACTATTGGTTAGAATGGACACTGGAATGCACCTAAACGCTATATAGCTTTGCTCAACCTATTGACCAAGGTTTAAAAAACTCCCTCCTAGTCCACCTAGACCTAGGCGGTACCTACACCACCCGTCTAGGGCTTGGAAACACATAGCACCACCCGTCTAGGGCTTGGAAACACATAGGGGAGAGGAGAGCACTTACGCGGACTACACCGCTTAGGTATTGATCATGATTTCCTCTGTTGCTGCCTCCACGTCCTCTAACCTTCTCCGAACTCCTATAGCCGCCTCTATTGACTACGGACACCACCTACAACTCCTTCGACCCTTAGCAAAACCTCCTCTATCACCACTTACCACTGTTTTAAATATCGGCCGATAACCGATATTATCGGCCGAGTTATCGGATTTGGGAGCTCTCCGATAGGATAACTTAGATTTTTAATCGGTTATCGTTTTTGGCAAGTTATCGGGGAGTTATCGGCATTATCGGTACTTATCGGCCGATAAGTAAGGTTTTTTTATCGGGATTATCGGCCGATAAGTAAGACTATGCAATCGAATGGTTTCATTGTGCGGTCAAAATGTAAGTTTTGCTTTCTACAATTGGTTAGTGATTTTAAACATGATGATTTACATTTTGGTATGTTTATATGTCATTATGCATGGTTAGATTACATTTTTCAGTTATTATATTATATATATACACCATTCTGTATATCACTCCGATAAATACTACTTATCCCCGATATATCCCCGATTTCCGCTATCCGATAAGGATTTTGGCCGTCCGATAAATCCCCGATAACCGATATTTAAAACCTTGCCACTTACACAAAAAAGGAAATCCTTGTAGGCCTAGTGTCTAGGCGCTAGGCACTAGTTTGGCACCTAGCCGTGCTTAGCGCTTTCGATAATGTTTATTGTAATTAAAAAATTAAAAAATGCCTAGGACCCACCTAGACGCTAGGCTCTAGGTGATGGGTCCAACACCTAGGCCGCCTAGCACTTTCTTTAACCTTGCTATTGACAAGTCTATAATAAAAGATCCCATCAAAGAACATGCATATGAGACTTAATCTTCAATATGCCAAGTAATTTCATCCATAACTAATCCAAAAACTAAAGACTTGATGTTAATCATTGACGGAAGCCTAAGGTGAGAGGAGAGAGATTTTGTCTCTTTCAATTGCTCTACCCGTTTCTCAATCATATATATCTTGAGCCATATAAGTATACTGACTTGAAACTTATTGCTTTCTCTGAAAATCACCTCGCTATTCTCCCTGTACTTCATTATGGAGTCCTAAAATTAAAAAAATACATTTAGATACGTCCTAGCATCTCTTCATCAATCAACACATATCAGATAAACAATTTCTTAGTTAACACCCCACCCCACCCCCACCCCCACCCCAAAAAAAAAACAAGTATAAAACCAAGTTGTTCTTAGTTAACACCCCACCCCACCCCCACCCCCACCCCAAAAAAAAAACAAGTATAAAACCAAGTTGGATTTGATGTGAAGGGTCTTATACATAAATCCTTTGCGCACAGAGAAGTTCAACCTAGAGCTTTCACTTTTACTAGAGTTTTCCTAGTAGTGCCCTCGTGACATGTGAGATAAGGTCTAAATAAAATCAATGACATTTGGCTTCACTTTCTTGCAATAGTACCCTAAAATGCCTTCTCTTGAGCAACATTTCTCAGAGCATTGTGCATTGGCAACAAATTCTTGGCTAATCCCACCATGGTGAGAAACTCATATTACAAATGAATGTAAGAGAGCCCTCAAAAGTAAGTACATATCGCCCTTGCATCCTCCAAGAGGATGAGCACTATGATCACCTTTGATCACTCTAATCTGGAATGAGGGCGGCAATCTGAATTGCCTACACCTCTGAGTCAAGTCTTAGGAATCACAAGTTGTAATTGTCGCCAGGAGTAAAAAAACTAAGCTAAACTATTCTTTCAAGAAAAGAACATATAAAAATTTAGGATAAAACAAACTTAGTGTAAAGCATATTCTAAATGTTTATAATTCAACCCACAAAATAGCACAATTACATATCTACATAAAATGAAGCATGTTATGCCCTATGTTCAATGTTCATTATTTGCTAAGCTTATTCTATGTGAAAATACAAATGTCATCCTTCCAAATGTACATACGAGGTCAAGAAAGTGGGGGTTAAATCCTATGCTCAATATCTTATTAGGAATCTATAACCATATGATATAATGCTACAAAGGACGCACACAAGTAAACATGTAGCCCTATTTGGTTATGTACCTGTATGTTTCCAATCCTTCATGGAAGAACAGAATGATTCACTTTATAGAATCTCAATGACAATGACCAGACACACAACTAAGCATTTAATTGGAAGGAAATCCCTTTTATTAGCATTAATTTTGCCTGTGAACAGTTGAATATATATAAGGCTAACCTCAAGAGAGACGAATCTCATATTTGAGAACTTTGATGTATGGTCATCAACTGAATCTGGATGTCTTTCTTTCCACTCCTCCATCAGATAACTGTCACGCTCCAAACAAGAACAGTTGAGCAATGATAAACACATAAAAGTTGGAAGCAAAATCAAGTTGACTCAATGGAAAAACCAAATTTAGCCCCATCACATGAATTGGGTTGAGAAATGATGAGTTCTTGGAAGTCAAACAATCTCAAGGCATGTTGAACATCAAGGCCAACAGATTTCAAATTATAACAATTATTAATATCATTTTAATAAACCACTCCGCTTTAGTAGAAAACCCTTCTTAGAACGGCAGTGTAAACCGTCTATCGTTCATACTTTTATTATGTGGTGAGATCATGCTAGACATGCATATTGTCTAACATCTGTAAGATTGGTCGAACTTCGCCTCATATCACAATATAATAATGCATACAACAATGTCTGGTAAACAAAATACTCTAGTTTCATAAAACATTTAGGTGAGTGTGTGTGCACTTGTATGAAATGTGGAAAGGTAAGCATGAAAATATAATAAAATTGGGATATAATCTGATGGAATATTATTGATTAGAACTTGTACAAAAACCGTTACAGACCATCATTGGTCCACAAAACTATTACGGACCAAGAATTATCAGCAAAACTTCATATTGTCTTAGCATATTTGCTTTGGTCCAATTTAACCTCAGATATTGACAACAGGAGAACTTGTAAGAAGTTGATTGATGTTACATGCATACTGTCATGACTTTGGTCTGATTTTGCCTCAGATCCACAATATAATAATGCATAGTACAAAGTCTAGCAGATAAATACTGAAATTCCATACAGTACTTGGTGAATATAAACTTACAAATATGAAATTTGAAAAGGTAACATGAGCGTATAAAATTGAGATCAGTTTATAACATATTATTGACTAGAAAATGCATGCTGAACTCTTATAGACCAAGATGGTCCATCAAACATCCCATCATAAGCTACCAATAAAAGAGTTATAAGAAGATGAATGATGCTAGGGATCGCCGAGATCCAAACCAATGTATACAAAAAAACCCATGAACTACTTCCTTTTGAGACAGAACACATACTCAGAAACTTGAACTGTTGATAGAGAGAAGAGAGACGACACAAATAGATTGTGGAACACTATAAAAAGACAGAAAGGGGATCAATTAGACGACAAGTTTCACATGAAGCACCATCCAAATGTTGGAATATACCTTTGAACAAGATTCTTGAGACCACTATGACTTCCTTTGATGGAATCCATATGCAATATACAGGGAACTTTAGGCGAGTCCTTAATGTCTTCTTCTGCAATACGTAAAATGGGCCACTCTTAGCCTCAAATCTGAAGAGTGAAGTAAATTTAAACTTTTCGCCAGAATTCTTACCTTCTAAAATAGACACTTCTCCTGGATGACATACAACAAGTAAACTCCAGTGTAGACTGCAGTTAAAGGGTCATTCATGCAATGTACCATGTGAAGGTGGATCATTTCATGACCAGGAAAGATAAAGTAGATTAAAAGTAAAGAAACATGTGAGAGTCCTCACTTGAAGTTAACCGGTATAAAAATGTAATCCTTTTCAAATATGTTTACTTTACGTGTCCATTTACGGACTCGTAAGAATGCTGCTCTGCCTTCTGAAGCACTTCCTGGATCCTTGTCAAGATCTGCTAACTTGCGGAAGAAGAAGCTGTTGAAGAAGTGGAATCTATGTCTCTCATTATGTGGAATCCTTGTCTTCAAGTATCTGCAATGAAAATATCATAACAAACAACATAAAGAATGATAGACAATCAAACTAGAAAACAGATTCCCTGTGAACAATATGCAATGACAGATAACTCATAACTGCAACATTCACAAGTTCTTTGGTCAGAGATATAGGAATATGGGAGGAAAAATAATCAAGGGAATATATCATCAAGAAATCAGTAAGAAAAGATCTAAGCAAGGTAGTAACACATCATTGAATGATCATCATAATACACCATATTTATCTGTTTTTAGTACAGCATGTGTGCCACATGTACATAATATGAATGTTGTTCCTTTTGAGCAAAATCAGATAGAAAAGACAATAACTATAGCTCAACTTTAGTCAGCCTTTCCAAATATAAACAGTTACTAGAAATACCCAACTGAATTAGTATGGAAATAGATGCCAGCCACATGATGTTGGCAGACGAGCTATTACATTGCACAAAGTGGTTCACTAATTATTACAGGAACAAACCAATAATTAAAAGGTAAAGGATCCTCTAAGCCACATAAAAATCGACATCTACACTAATTTAAGTAGTACAGTCAAGACATATTTCTCTTGGGTGGCATCTCCTGATATTTGATCATGTTCATATATGACCACATTGATCCAAAAAGGCCCGAGACAATGAGGACGGTGATAACATACAATTTTCTCATTTCCCCGACGATCATCATTTATCAATACTCTTGTCAAGAAAACATGGTCATAACAGTACCACAGACCAAACATATGACAACATTACCTATAGGCCAACATAAAGGTTCTCAAAGAACATTGAACGCCAAAAAGTACTGCTTAAGAATATATCAACTTGAAATTGAACGATCAGATTAGGCTAAATAAGAAAATGAAATTTTGATTTTTTTGTTCCAGAAGTTAACACTTTTACTAGGTAGATTTGCAAACTAAAAACTTTCAAAACAAGATACCAATCGCCTTCACCTTCAGGACTTCTGCCCAAGGGCTAGCTTACTAATTCAGCATGCTTACTCTCATTATCAGGGCTTAAACTGTTTGCAAGACAGCAAACAGTAACAAAACTGATATTGATTTGTTCTTCTTATTCTCCCCTTGCCCTTACTTCCAACAAAAGCAAGAAACCGTTGTTTTGCGTCCTACTAATTGCCAAATAATATATATTCACCCTACTAAAAAGTTATAAGTAGCATTAACTCTCATGCATTACTTCCTCAGTATTTTAGTGTAGATGTGAAAGAAACACAAGAAATACACTTCTAAACTACTTGGTCCTTATTTCTAAGCCAACTAATGGAACACTGCTATCGAGCCTATCATTGAACCAAATACGTCAAAATTTCCAATTTCAGCAATCCACCATGTAAATAAGAAAGGAATACTTTCACCTGTATACAAAATAGCTCTCCACTTTACTTCCACGCATCTATGTGCCTGTGTGTGAGTGGGGGAAGGAAGAGTTTCACAGGATAGGTTCCCATTTATTAATAGAAAAACACAGGATTTATCTATACGATAAAATTGACACATTTAATTGTGATACACAAAATGTAAAATGTAATCTACCTAGATGTGCAAACTGTTACAAAGTTAATTATAATTCATGTACCAGAAACATAATAAATCACATGAATGGATAAAACTGAAACAAAGATGCATATCAAATACTCGAGATGACAAATACATGAAATTTGTGCTACTGAAATACAATGCAAAGGCATCCACTTACTTAACATAGAAGTCAATAATTGTATCATTGATAAAAGTATCAGGTTGTAACAGTTCAATATCCCTTTTACTTATTGCAACAGCGTCAGGATCACCTTTTGGGTAGATAACATCCTCAAAGGAATCTGGTATTCTGATTACAAGAAGGACTAGTTAGTAATCAATATTGACAAAAACATGCATTATACAATCAAAATAACACATTAATTAGCGAGTAGTAAAATCTAAAATCTAGAATAAACAAGACTAAAAGGAGCAATATAACAAAAACTTTAAATTCTTCTGGTAGTTCTCACAAGGAAAAAAGTTGCAGTTAGTCATGCCAATCATATGGCATCCAAATTACTAAGAGGAATAGCTGCTAATTATACATGAGCATGAAAATAAGTTAAACCCAAGTGAGGAGACGTCTTTATATAAACAACAGAGATAAACATCAACAGTAGAAAAAATTAGTATATGTCAGTTACTCATAAAAAATATCACCGGTAAAAGATAAGTGAAAAAGAATAAACTACTAACCAACAACATCAAAGAAATTTATCAGAACCTTTCAGAGAGGAGAGCTTTTTTTCGTACATAAAAATAACATAAACCTCGCATTATATAACATAAGGAAAAATAAAAAGTAATGACTGCATAATGCTACGTTTTTATGGAAAGCACGAAGTATACAGAGTGTGTTTCCACAATGGCCATTATGAGACCCCACCTTACCCCCCAATCCCCCAGTGTGATGACAAGGGTGATAACCCACCATTAAGAAATACCAAACCCCTTTCCCCTTCACTGCAGGAGAAAAGTGTCCCTTCGCATGTTTAATCTTGCTTCCACCCTCAGTCAAAAAAACGTAAGCCATTCAACAATGACAACCAACTTTCCAACAATACCGACCATTTTACCGGACATTGTCAGCCACTTTCCTGCTGTACACGATCAATTTCTTGTTACGAGATAAATTCCTGATAACAATGAGTATCGCTGGTGATGTCTTTACTTTTTTTGTATTAATTTGTTCATAACAGGTACTATTTCGCATTAATTTGTGATTGTGGTATTTTCTCAAAGATTATGTTTGAAATTCCAATTAATTTCATTCTTTTAGCTTTCGTACCATGATTGCATTTTACTTGTATAAATCCTATATAGTTCTGTCAGTGAGTTAATTAATTTCAAAGTTTCAGTTTAGTACCTTATGTCTTTCCTATAAGTCTGCTTGCTACGTGTTATTGTGCTATATAACTGTCTTGCTATGTGTTATTGTGCTCTATAACTGTCTTGGTGTACTTTTTGGATATAAGCTTCGTAGAATGAAACATGTAATCTGTGTTAGTGTTACATCATATTGCATTTTATGCTATTCAGAGGTGAGTGTCACATATGCATTGTTGTTATTTTTAATGATGATTGCTTGAGCAAATAAAATAGGCTAGATAGTGGTAAAAGTAATAGATAAAGTGATTTATAATTCAAACTAAGTCTTTTAAGTCTGGGTTGAACCTTTTGCAAAAAACTATGATTTGATGCTTTTTCTGATAGATTTCTTACCCTTATACACAGATGTTGCAAGGTATCTGGAACTCTAAAGCTGGTCTTTACGGTGAATCCTTTCTCTCCTATATTTGTATTAGCATATTGAAATGGTTATATGAGCTCAAGCTAAGCTTACTAATCAAAAGGGTAATATAGATATCAAAGGGAAGATGACCTCCTGATGACACTATTATATTCCTTAATCCAGTAAGAACAGGAACAAATGTCTAACAGCATGGATGTTTTGGATGTAGGAAGATAAAAGCAAACCCTAATAACAAAAAATTTACTGCTTACCACTAAGAAAAGAAATCATTAGCAGGGCCTTATGTTCAAAAGTTCGAAATCAACAATCACAAATATCATCTGGTTGCTTCTTCCCTGTGCTTAATTAAGCATGCCCATAAATCAGGACCTTTCTATATCATCTCAGCTTGTAAAAGGTATCTACACTCCATCTAAATCTGAACCACTCCTAGCAAAATTCCTTAGAAATACAAGGATGATCATGATCATCACCGCTACTATCTAAAGATGCAAAAGTGGTCATCATCACTACTGACCATTCTTGAACATCTGTTTAGAGCCTGTTTCTGCAGGAGTGGACATCAAATGCATAGACAGCTAGTTTAAACTGGAATATTATTTGGATTGAATGCTAAAAGTGCAAAACAATAGGGATTTTTATTACCCATCGTTGAGAACATGAAGACATGTGCGCGCGGGGTGGGGAGGTGGGGGGCAAGAATTGTTTTTAAAATAATAAATGAAAAATAAAAGAAAGAACTATTAAGATATAAGAACAGAAAAACCAGAAACTAAGAAATAGCATAATCACTAAATTAACAAAGATGTAGCATTACAATGTTAATGATAATAACAAACATCAAAGTAAGAAGATAATACGTATAATCACTATGTCAAAATTTGTATAAATTATGAAGCATGGACAAAATGCCCCCAAAGCCTACAACTGATAGTGTGGGTTAAGCGGGTTCACTGGCCTCTCTGCAACATGTTCAGAGGTAAACATAAATAAACACAGGATAATATGTCAGCTTTCAAATTAGGATCTTCAGCTGAATGGCTAATGAGAATAGAGATGTAGATTGCAGGATGCGCAATATGCCTTTTTATTGATCAAGAACAACAAACACCAGGTTCTGGCCTAATGCTACAGACATCTTGAATTAAGCATAATCCCTGGCATTGCCCATGGTGCCAACAGATAACCAGATTAGTTTGTACTTTATACTATCACTATTTATCGGACAAGCTGATTCACTTATCTGGAAATTTACTTAATTAAAGTCCACTCGTAAATCAGCATAACATGAATGATCAAGAGATCCCGATACTGCATGGTACTAATATATTTAAAGGGAACATTTTCCACTAGATTGTTTATTGTAAATTAATCAAAGCAGATATTGTATTTGATTCGAAGTTTCAAACCGATTAGTCACTGTACAGTTTGCTAGACCATGCCTGCTGCTTGATACAACTTGAAGAAAGCAGAGACAACTTATTCTTAATGGTGAACTTGTCACGAAAATATGGTACCTTTTCCATCAAGTCTGTAGAAGTACACATACATAAAGCTTTCTTCAGCTCTGTTTCAGATTGCTCTATGGAATGCTTGTGGTTCTAACAGTTACTTGATACTATGGAGGACTGGATTCCTCCACTTGTTTGTTTGCAGCATTTGAAGCCAAAAGAATTCAATACATGGATAAAGGAAACATATTTTTAGTGGAAGTAGCTAAATATCAAGATAAAGGAAACATATTTTTAGTGGAAGTAGATATCAAACTATGCCAGTTAGCTACTAGAGAAGATAGCAGACTTAACAGCTTAAACGTAAATATCATTTTCAATGAAATGATACAAATTTAAATGACTTCCAAGTTAAACATCTAACAGGAAGGCCAAGAAGAATTATTATAAGATGGGTTGGACAGCCAAATATATGCAAAAGGTTTGGATGGTAAAACAAAGGAGTCCTTTATTACTGGAGATGATATTATTTTTGGAGATTACAATGGCATGTTTTTGTTACTCATTGGCTAACTATTATGGCAAGGCCTCTCAGTCGAAGCTGAAAAGGAGCTTCCTTCTGTGTTTCTGACTATATACAAGGGATTATATATAACCTTATTATTAGCAATTTTCTTCAGAGCAATAAGAAATTCCCGTGGTGCTTACGGAACATCCAGCATCAAGTTATTATTCTTATCAAGATGACAGCTGCAGTACCCCTCACATTTTCAAAAGAGAAAATGATTGCAGATTATGCGGAAAACCTAGCAATTATATTTGAAATCCCCTAAATTTCTCCATGATTTTCTAATGCAGGTGATATGTCTAATGTTCTTATAATCGGTCATAAACTGAATATTTGACGACTCAGTTTATGGTAGGACAAATTAGAAAGATTTATCCAATGGAGATTATAGTCGATATGATTGTTAGACTTCAATTTTTATAACTGAATTTATTTTAGCGTTCAGTTTGCATTTAAATTCTAGGAATTTGATTTGAATCTCAATACTAGGAACGACTTCTTTCAGATTTTAATCAGTAAACTAATAGGATTAGGAGTTTATTTGTATCTGAAATTTTAATAGCAAGGTTATGCGGTGAGGCACCGCTCAAACTTTCTGGGGCTTTAGCCGAAAAAGGAGCTAAGTAAAAAAGAGGTCCAGTACAAAAATATATAAATATGTCAGAGGAAAGGATTGTAAGCATGAAGTGGCTTCAACGGGTGAGGGAGGTGGATCTTCGACAAGAGATGGCAATGGCGAGTTTCGACTAGAGATGGTGATGATGAGCTATGATGAGGAGCTCAAGAGAAGGTGAGCCGTGATGGTGATCGCGAAGGCGGAACTTGTTGCAGAAAGATTTGGTGGTGGGAGGCGATATAGTTGGCCAGAGGTAGTGGACAAGGCAGCTGAAGTGGGACTTAGGGCTAGGATTTATTTTCGTCTCACGTCGTAGAAGCAGAGAGGAGAGAGGGAAGTGGAGGGTTTTACTTAAGAAAATGGTTCGGGTTTGGATCGGGTATAAAATAAACCTATATTTGTGTTTCTAAAAGCGTTGTTAAGTGTTTTCTTTTACGAGCTTTGTAGTGCGGTTTCAAGGAGAAAGTGCCATGTCCGCTTTCATTGCCTGCTTTCACTGAAAACTGAACGGTGAGACGCTACTTTTGCTTTGCACACCACTTAAGTGGCCAAACACGGGGTTTTTTTATCACTATTTTGTAGAGATAAGATTTCAAACCCTGTGTAAAGGAGTGTAGGTTTTCATTGCAATTACAAACTATAAAAAATGTATTAATAAAACTGGGGTTTTTAGCATGTGAATTTCTATGGTGGGCATGTGATTAGCAAAGGCGTGAACCCATCTTTTAGGTTAGATGTCTATGTGTGAAACTGGTCTAACCCAACTGACCTTATATAATTCTTTGATCTTTATTCTATTTTATCTTGTATCTTTCTTTAGCTCTTTATTTCTATTAGCTTGAAATATTTTGTGTTATTAGAATCCTAGTTGATGTTCTCATTCTCAATAATCATCTTTACACTCTGTTCATAAAAAAAC